GTTTTAAAATTTATTTACATAGATTAGGGCCAAGTAGTTTTTGATAAAAGTTTAATATAGCCTGTGTCTGTTGTTACTTTCTAATTTTCTGTGGTTTTATTTCCTCAGTTTACTCTTAAATTATCTAGGGGTGTATTCCACCCCCCCACCCCCCCACCCCCTCCACCTAAAAGCAGCTTGGGACTTACTTTATTGTGCTTTTTTTTTTTTTCCAGCTTTTGTGTTTTTTGGTTATTTTCTTTTTCAAATGGTGAAAACTACAAAAAATTAGCTGGGCATGGTGGCATATGCCTGTAATCCCAGCTACTCAGGAGGCTGAGGCAGGAGAATTGCCTGAACCCAGGAGGCAGAGGTTGCGGTGAGCTGAGATCGCGCCATTGCACTCCAGCCTGGGTAACAAGAGTGAAACTCCGTCTCAAAAAAAAAAAAAAAAAAAAAAAAAATTTCTAAAATTTCTTGAAAACGGAATTTTCCTTCAAGCACTGCTTCAGTTGTATTTGATTGGATACTGTATTTTCACTATTATTTGTGATCAGTTATATATTTTTAGTTTTTCTTCTTTAACCCAACAGATACTTATAATATCATAAATAAAACTTGTAATGCTCTATATGGTTCTCGCAGCCTCTTTGAAGTAGTAATTCTTAAGGAATCTCTTAAGGCTAAGCTACATAAGATTTATGTTAAATTGGTAACATAGATTTCTCCTTTTAAATAGTAAAAAGAATGCTTAATGAAGTTGTTTTTGGAGTCACTTTAATTTGTAACAATTTAATGTAACTTTATCATTTAAAGGATTTAAATTGTTACATTTATAACTTTAGTATGTTTGGTTCAGATCTGGATTTGAAATGGACTGCTGAGATTCAGGGGAGTTTTCAAGCAATAGGCAAGGGGCACTTGCTGTCTTTGGCTCAGCCGACGTTTTTGTTGTTAAAGAATTAGAATTTGGTATTCCTTTTTTGCTGCTAAACTGTGATCCTGTGTTATATTTAATACATCTATAGTAAACTCAGTAAATAATATAGAAAGAATCTTTCCTCTTTTGTAATTCCACTGCTATTGGCCTAGTCAAGGCAAGCCACCTAAACTTTATATAAGCTTCCTAATTGATATCTTTGTCTTGAGATCTTACCTTCAACTCACCAGTCTTATTGTCTGTAGTTTCCTTTTCTTGAAACAGCTCTCAATATATGATTTCTTCCAAAAGTTTTAAATTGTTCAGAATCTTGAGTATATTTGATACTCTCTAAGATCATCTGAACTCTCTTTTATTCATTCAACAAGATATATTAAGTATCTACTCTAGGAGCTGCTGTACTTACTGTTAGGATTATAATATCTAGGGGGCAAATGTGATCCCTAGATATCACATTTGTCCCCTACTGACATCTAGGAGGAAGAATGGGAAGTAAGCAAATACAGATATGATGGATGTTAAGAAGGTGAAGTACAGGATGATAAGGGATTGTAATGTAGGATCCAACCTAGTCTACAGAGTTAAGGCCAACTTCCCTAAGAAAGGAAGAACTTCAGTTAAGACCTAAAAAATGAATGAGACTTAGCCAGTGAAAGTGGGGAGGGAGGAAGAAGAGCAGAAGGCTGGGGAAATGCTTGCACGTGTAAAGGCCCTGAGAAGGAGCAGATTTTTGGCTTTTTACAAAGAGCCTTTTTCAGAAACTGGAAAGAAGGTCATGTGGATGGGCGATGAAACTCGAAGATAGAGGATGTTGTATACCATTTGAAAATTGCTTTTTCCCAAAGGCATCAGAAATGGTACAGATATGTTTAAGCAGGGAACAACTACAGATTTTTACTTAAAAAAATCGCTTTGATTGCAGTGTGAAGTATGGTTTGGAGATGGTTTATGGATGTAAGGAAAGAGTTGCTTGTAGTCTAGGTGAATGATTATGGGAGCCCTACTAAGGCAATGGCCGAGGAACTTGAATATAGTAGCTGAATTTGAGACGTAAAATCAGCATGGCTTGGTAACTTGATGTAGGAGTAGAGGTAGAGCTGAGAGTGGTTTCAGGTTTCTTGCTTGAACAATGGATGGATGGCAAAACCATTTATTAAACTTGGGAGCACGGTGGCAGAACGAGGTTTTGGGAGGGTGGAGTAGGATAAAGACTCAATTTTGTACTATTGATTTTATTGTGCCTGTGAGACAGCAATGTCTGGTACCAGGTGTGGTGTGTAGGTAAATGGGTCTGGATTGTGGAGAAGTTTAGCTGATAGAAATATCACCTGTATGACTGCTACTTGAAATCATTAGAGAAGTTAAGACTGTCTTGGGTGAGAGTTTAGAAAGCAAAGTAGAGAAGCCTAGGACAGAATCCTGAGGAATTCTGACATTTAATGTTTGAACAATAATGGCTAAAAATACAGAGTGCTTATGAGGGTCAGTCATCATTCCGAGTGCTTTATACATATGCAGTCATTTAAATTATACAGCACTGTGAGGTAGATTGTATTACTCCTATTTTACAGGTGCTAAAAATAGGTGAGAGAAGTTAATGGAAAATTTGCTAGTAAATTAGCAGCTGGAGAAATGGAAGTTTAGTGTTAGGTAAAACAGGAATGTTTGTAGAGCAGGAGTGTGCCTTTATGTTGAAGGCTGCTGATAAGTCAACCAAAATGAGAGCTGTAAAAGATCCATAGCTTTAAAGGATGGCCTTGACAGTTGTTAACTTCAGCTAAAACAGTTCTGGTGGAATGGTAGAAATGGAGTTCAGGTTGATGAGGTCTGAAGAACTAAAAACTGAAAACACTTGAAATTTGTCTAAGGCTGGAGGGAAGTAGTTGTCACAGAACTTTTAATTTTTCTTATTTAGATTGGGGGTGACTTGAACTTGTAAAATGCTGATTTCAGCATCAATAGAGAGGGAGCAGCTCTCTCTGCTAGAAGACATTAAAGAGAGAATCATAAAGTTTTGTATGAAGGCAGAATTCAGCAGGATCCGGGGCACAGGTAGAAGGGGAATACCTTCTTCACTTAGTAAAAAAAGGAAGAATGAAAGGATAGGTCTCCTTTAGGTGATGGAAAATTGAGGTAGTTCCCAGCTGATGCTGCTTTTCTTGAGTTAAAGTTAATACCATTCAGGAGTGGATATGGAGGAGTATTCCTTTATAGTTTTACATCCCTCTCAGGACTGTGTATCCTGGTAATGTTATCTACTCATTCTTGTTTCTGTAGCAGGAAAATCTCTAAACCTTTTTATTATAAAATATGTGGCTGAAACAATATATTCCATATAAGTTATAACATAATAAAGCAAGCACCAGAACCCAACTCTCAAAAAGTATGTTTCCAGCAGTGTTGAGACTCCTTTCTGGCATGGTACTTTCTCTTTCCTGTAACCATGACCCTTAACTTTTCCCTTGCTTTTAAAAGCTTTTTTTTTTTTTTTTTTTTTACTGCCCTTAAATATGTCAGAGTTGCTTTTTTGTACCTTATAATAAGTGGTATCATATCATGCTATATATTCTGCAGTTGCTTTTTTCACTCATTATATTTAGTATTTTTGTATCAATACAAGTGCCTCTGTTTTATTTGGTTCTCTCATTTAGTTTTAATCTGTAAATAAATGGATGCTTGAGGGATTTTTTTTTTTTTGTCACTATGAACAATTTTACTTTGAGGAATCTTATAGGTGTTACTGACAAACCAGAGTAAGATTTTTTTTTTTCCAGGGTATATGTGTCTCTTATTAGACTATTGGGTGTGCTCAGGATTAACTTCATAGTTAAAAATGCTGAACTATTTTCCAAAATTATTGTGCCAATTTATACTAATACTGGTATTACATAGGAGTTCCTATTGTTCCATACTTTTATAAATATAATATCATCTATTTTTTCAACATTATTAAAAAAATGTACTTAACACAAAGTAAACCCACTCTAACTGTACATTTCAGTGTTTATAGTAAATTTGTAGAGTTACCAAACTGTTACCACAATCTCATTTTAGAGTGTTCCCATAATCCTCTTTTTTGTGCCCTGATTTACTTTATATCTTTATAAATTTGTCTTTTCTGATATTTCACATAAAATGGTCTTCTGGATCTGGCTTATTTACTTAGCATAATAATTTTTAGGTTTATCCCTCTTATAGCATGTATCAGTATTTCTTTGGTTTCTATTGCTGACTAATATTCCATTGTATGGGTGTACCACATTTTGTTTATCCACTTACCAGTTGCTGGATATTTGGATTGTTTTTGTTTTAGGCCATTATGCTGCTGTATGCATCTTCATACAAGTCTTTATGTGGACATGTTTTCATTTCTTTTGGGCAGATACCTTGGAGTGGAATACTTTACTATTTTAATTGCTGAGGCTTTATAATATGTATTTAGTTGGTTGTGCAGGTTCTCCATCTTCTGTTTCAGATTGGTCCTTTTTCTTTTCCACAGAGATTTGAGTTAAAGTCCCATGAAATGCTCCCCTCTTTTCTATCAATTTTGTTCATCTGGGAAAAATTAAAAAAAAATTTTTTGCTCCTTTAAATTTCCTGTAGGACATTGCATATTGTTTGTTAGAATACTTATTTATTTTTGTCTGTTATAGGTAATTATTCTAAGTCTTTTCCACCATATTATAAATGGCTTGAAGTTGCTTGTTCATCTGTTCGATACCATGCTACTGTGTAATACGTTTGGGTAGTGAATGACTATTAACAGAGAAATCCTATTGGCTCAGTACTGTTAAAACCAACAGGCTTCTCTTATCTTAGACTTTATAGATAGGGAAAAATAAGGACTAAGATTTCTAATACAAAATTGAATTTCTGGCATTAGAATTGAATTTTTAAATACAACTTAATATAACTTGTGTTAATACTCTCTCCTTTTTCCTGAGGCAAGTGCTTTCTTTTGTATGTATAGTAAATAGCTATAAGGTCTTAAATCTCTTCTACTGTATTTAAGAAACACTTATTTTAACATATTTGTGTTTAAACAGTCACAAAATTGATGTTTTCTTATCCTATTTGGTAGGAAGCAGTAGAGAAATATGAAGAAGTGCTACATAATTTGGAATTTGCCAAGGAGCTTCAGAAAACCTTTTCTGGGTTGAGCCTAGATGTGAGTATGTTTTCTTTGCTTTTCCTGAAACCAGTTTTAACCACTGACCTTGGAGAAAATGTCAGCGTATCAGTGTCTAATAATGGTGTTTGATTGCCATTCATCTAATTTCTGCTGATATTTTTTTGGGATGGAGAGTTGAGGGTAGCTGTTGGAGAACTAGTTTTTTCATATTTCCATAGTCTCAAGGGGGGAACACAATGGCACAGAATATGAGACATTGTGAATAGAACATTAGTTATCTAATATATGTTATTTAATTATAGAATTAATCATTGAGAAAGGGAATCAAAACTTTTGACAAGGTATATTTATTAAAGGTATTTTAGAATACAGGCTTGTAAATTTATATAAGATAGGCTTCTTTCACATTATTTAACATATGAGACAACAGAATTGGTTGTCTTTTTGGAAGCATGAAAATTATTAACAGGAAAATTAATGACTCATGTTAAATAGAGTTAAATCTGGCCTTACTACTTGTTAGGTTCTCTATGTTGGCAGTCCAAACTTTATCTCTGATAAATTTAATCAATAATTAATAAGAAGTTTTAAATACTTTTTAATGAAGTATTCTTTACTTTTTCAGGATCTTAGCATTAGAAGGTCCTTTAAAGGTCATGTTTCTACAATTGAGGACATTTTTAAATAAATTCATTCCTATGGTTGAGAGCATGCCTCATAAGATAATCTCTTCTATTTTTTGGATATTTTAATTAAAAAAATTTTTTAAAAATTATTTTTAGAGACAAGGTCTTGGTCTCTGACCCAGCCTGGAGTGCAGTGGTGTGATCATAGTTCACTGCAGGCTTATAATTCTGGCCTGAAGGGATCTTCCTGCCTTGACCTTCCAAAGTACTGGGATTACAGGTGTGAGCCATCGCTCTGGCCTATTTTCTTTATAGTTGACTAGAAGTCTCTCCTCTATTCCTCTGGTATCAGAAAAATTTTTCTAGGCTGGAGACGTTTACCATCTTAATTCTTGGCTAAGAAGGATTACAAGAACTATTAGAAGTGTACTTTTATAATGTTTAAAATTTTCTGTTTTTGTCTTTACTCAAGAGTTACCCAGTAACAATTTAGTTTTTCATTCAGGTTTATATTTTTCTAATACATGGTATTCTTTTCTTATTTTTAGATTTAAAGAGTTAGAAAAATGCCTACCTTGTGCCAGGCACCTACGCAATTCCGCTTGGTTTTTATAGTAGTCCAAGAAGTTGCTATAAATAGTCCCATTTTATAGATCAGGAATCTGAGACTCAGAGCAAAAGTAACTTATTCTTTTTTAAGAAAACTTTTAGGTTTAGGAGTATATGTATGCAGGTTTGCTATATAGGTAAACTCATGTCATGGGGATTTGTTGTATAGATTATTTTGTCACCCAGATACTAAGCCTGGGGCCTAATAGTTATTTTTTCTAATCCAATCTCTCCTCCCACCTCCACCCTCAAGTGGCCCTAGTGTGTATTGTTCCCCTCTATGTGTTGATGTGTTCTCATCATTTAGCTGCCACTTATAAGTGAGAACATGTGGTATTTGGTTTCTGTTCCTGTATTAGTTTGCAAAGGATAATGGCCTCTAGCTCCATTCATGTTCCGGCAAAGGACATGATCTTGTTCTTTTTTTTATGGCTGCATAGTATTCTATGGTGTATATGTACCACATTTTCTTTATCTAGTCTGTCATTGATGAGCATTTAGACTGATTCCATGTCTTTGCTATTGTGAATAATGCTGTAATGAACATACACATACATGAGTCTTTATGATAGAACGATTTATATTCCTTTGGATATATATCTAGTTGTGGGATTGCTGGGTCAAATGGTAGTTCTGTTTTTAGCTCTTTGAAGAATCACCACACTGCTTTCCACAATTGTTGGATTAATTTACACTCTCATCAACAGTGTGTAAGCATTCCTTTTCTCTGCAGCCTTGCCAGCGTCTGTCATTTTATTATTTTTTAGCGATACCCATTCTGACTGGTGTGAGATGGCATCTCATTGTGATCTTCATTTGCATTTCTCTAACTATCAGTGATGTTGAGCTTTTTTTCATCTGCTTTTTGGCCCCATATATGTCTTTTGAAAAGTGTCCGTTCATGTCCTTTGCCCATTTTTTAATGTTTATTTTTCTAGTAAATTTATTTAAGTTCCTTATAGATACTGGATATTAGTTTTTTTGTCAAATGCAGTTTGCAAAAGTTTTCTCCCATTCTGTAGGTTGTCTGTTTACTCTGTTAATGGTTTCTTTTGCTATATAGAAGGTCTTAAGTTTAATTAGTCTAACTTGTCAGTTTTTGCTTTTGTTGTGATTACTTTTGGCATATTTGTTTTGAAATTTGAAATCTTAGCCAGTTCTTATTTTCAGAATGGTATTTCATAGGTTATCTTCCAGGATTTTTATAGTTTTGGGTTTTACGTTTAAGTAAAAGGAACTATTTCAAAGTCGTGGCCAGTAAGTGGTAGAGCCAAGATATGGCCCTAGGTACTTTTTCTCTATACCATGAATATAGTGTCTTTTCTAATTTTTTTCTCTGCTGCTGTAGTCTAGAGGTAGCTCCCAACTCACCAGATTTTGTTGATATCCATGAAACTAATTTTTCTTGCCTGTGTTTGAGATTTAGTTTCATTTTAGGTGACATGATAAAGTACTTTGCCTGACTGAATCAAGACCCTAAAAGGTGCTTGGCAGTACCTTTGAGGTGTTTTTTTTTTTTCTGCTAATTTTTTGTAAGTTCCTCTTTTAAATTTTTATTTTCTCAAACATGTCCTATAATAGCCAGTTTTGCAGCTTGTGGAACATTTTCTTTTTTTCTCTTCAAAGTAAAGTTGAAAGTCTTTCTTTTCGACTTTGTCACATTCTGCTTTGTCTTCATGAGATAAGCTCTGTCTCCTGGTAGGGATTCATCATTCTGAGTCTTGATTAAGAAAACCAATTCTATCATTCAGTACTACTGATTGTGAATGGTTTACTTCTTAGATTTTCCTTTCCAAACTTGTCCTCAGCTGGAAAAAGAGAACAATGTAACCCACCTTTCTAATTTCCATCTAAAGGAGAAATTGGCTGTTGTCCATGGCTTTTCATGACATCTGATCATGATCTGGGAGACTTGCTTGATCCTTAATTTTATTCAACAAAGATTGGAGGCCCCGTTATGTGTCAGGCTCTGTTCTGAGCATTAGTGAATATTGGTGAACTGATGTAGTCCCTGTCATCATGGATGCAGATAAAGAAAAAAATAGCCAGGCATAGTGACTTACATCTGTAACCCTAGCCCTTTGGGAGGGGAATCACTTGAGTTCAGGAGTTCAAGACCAGCCTGGGCAACATAGGGAGACTTCATCTCTATAAAAAATAATAATAATTAGGCATGGTGGCATGTACTTGTGGTTCCAGCCATTCAGGAGGCTGAGGTGAGAGGATTGCTTGTGTATAGGAGGTTGAAGCTGCAGTGAACCTTGATTGTGCCACTGCACCGCAGCCTGGATGGCATAATGGCACTGTGTCTCAAAAACAAACAAGAAACCCAAAATTGCTTTGATAGGGGAAGTTCAAGGTGGCATGAGCCCATATGAGCACCCAATCCAACCTTGGAAGACCAGGTGAAGATAAACCTGAGATAATCATGTGGCATAATTGTCTGAAGATGCCCTGTGAATCAGTTCCTTTTCCCTTTACCATGATGAAACTCTGTCCAAGAGAAACCCAGTGTCTTGGAGAGCTAGGAGTGCCACCTCCATCCTCTTTTCTTCTCTCAAGCAGGATCAAAGAATCCTATAGTTTGGGTGTTATTGATACAGTCTATATGGAGTTCTTGGAAAAAGCCTTACTGAGCCTTTCCCATCAGAGAAAATGTGCTTGCCCATGCAACCTTCAACCAGTCTATTTCTCATTCTCAGAATTTTATCTCTACTCGTTATCTTTCTGTCCATAGTAGTAGCACAAATCAAATTTACTATGTTCCTTCCACATCCCCATGAAAGGGATTAATTATGCTACAGTGAATGTTTTTCCTGAGGTTTCCCCCCCTAATTTTACTCTGTTAGGATTTATGAACATCTCTTTTATATAATTTAAAATATTGATGCTATTTCGAAGTACTTTGACCCATCGGTAGGAAAAATCTTAATGTTTGTTTATTTTTGTATTCTAATCTTCATACCTTGCGAAATATCCAATATGATGGAAATGTTACAATCAGAAAAACTATGGGGGGAAAAAACCTTTTAGGTTTCTTCATGGAAAGAGAATACTTTTTAGTTAAATGGCAAGTCACTTCTGGGACCCATGAATATTTTAAGGTATTATAGTTCTGAGCTTTAGAGTAGATCCAAGGTTGCTCAATCTACATATACAAATTTTTAGAGGGAAAACTTTTTTTTTTTTTTTTTTGAGACAGGATCTCACTCTGTTGCCCAGGCTGTAGTGTAGTGGCACTCTCACCACTCACTGCAGGCTTGACCTTCCAGGACCAAGCGATCTGTCTCCCACAGCCTCCTGAGTAGCTGGAACTATAGACACACACACCATGCCCAGCTAATTTTTGTATAGGGAGGGTTTTGCCATGTTGCCCAGGCTGGTTTTGAATTCCTGGGTTCAAGTGATCCACCTTCTTTGGACTCCCGAAGGGCTGAGATTACAGGTGTGCACGACTGTGCTAGGCCTGAAGAAAAACCTAAGTTCCATTAATTTTCTGTATCTACAATCAGCTAAATATTAGAGGATATAGCTCCATCCAGACTGATGGAGCAAATTATTATTTAAAAAATGTTTAATTTTACTTCTTAAAAAAAGTAACACATTTGCTCTGGCTGGTTTTTGGCATTACATTTGGAAGACATGTCTGTTAGCTTTTCAATTCCTTATGCTTTCTTTGGTTGATTGAAAACTGATCATTTTAGTTTGAATATTTTTTCCCTTGGAATATGAGATTTAAAAAAAAGCCTAAAAGGCCCAAAAAGGATTGATATATATAAATATGGAAGAGTAAAATGTTGAAATGAATGTGGATATCAGTGATTCGGACTTTGCTTTCATCATGGTGATCTTAGAGGTACTAGACCTTCTGGATTTGGGAGTCAGATATTTGGACACCCTTGGCTCTGGTTACTTGCAACAAACCAGTTTATTACTCAGTGGCTTATTTAGCTCAAAAAGGAGACAGACTAAACTGATAGTGTGACAGTCATGTCACACTAATCTAATTTATCATCTAATCTCAGCACTTTTGGGTTTAGACTTTGTAGAATATGTATTGCTTATATGGGATGGTGGGGAATTGTTAACCTGAATTAGCCATTTGTTTTAACAGCTACTAAAAGCGCAGAAGAAGGCCCAGAGAAGGGAGCACATGCTAAAACTTGAGGCTGAGAAGAAAAAGCTTCGAACTATACTTCAAGTTCAGTATGTATTACAGAACTTGACACAGGAACACGTACAAAAAGACTTCAGAGGGGGTTTGAATGGTGCAGTGTATTTGCCTTCAAAAGAACTTGACTACCTCATTAAGTTTTCAAAACTGACCTGCCCTGAAAGAAATGAAAGTCTGAGGTAAGCTAATGAAAAGACTTTCCTGAAATGGAACACTTGACACTTTAGCTTTTTAGGGGTGTGTGTTTTTGTGTGTGTGTGTGTGTGTGTGTACGAAAGAGAGAGTGTATGTGTATATGTGTGTGCGTGTGTGTGTGTTAGTGGGGGGGTGTGGAGAGAGAGAAATTAAGAAAGCAATAATTTGATTCAGTATGGGAAACCTTGGCTGGCCCAGTCTCTGATGGTTGACGGATTGTCTGGAAGGAAAGTAAATTTGAATGGTCTCATTAACATGCTTCTTTATTGTAATACTGATTTTTTAAAAAATGATGTCTGAGCATCAAATTTTAGTTCTGTACAATTATAATATTATATCTATTTCTAAAACTTTTAAAATAATATTCTCAGAGTAGTCTTCCTACTCCTGCTATACTTAAGTAAAGGTAAATAAGATTTAACTTGGCCAGTATCGTTAAACTTTCAAAGTAAAAATTATTTGGTGTTCTTACTATGCTGTGAATAAGTACTGAGAAATACATTTAATAGTTTAAAATACAAAACCTGCGCATTGGGGCTGTGTGATTTTTTTCCCTCACAGTGATCTATTGCTCTTCTTGTGTTGATGGAGTAAATCCGCCTGGGGACAGACGCTGTGCTCTTGCTTTGTTAGATGCAGGCTGTTCCAGCTTCATATTTATCAGCCATGCTAAAGTTGAGTCATTTCAATGGTTGCTAGAAGTCGGTCTCTAATCAGAAAGAAACCTAATAGAACTCTTAATTACCTATATATAGCTATATATTTTTTAATTCTCATGTTGATAGTCTACTCCATCATCATCTATACATTGTTTCCTTCACTTTTGTGGGTTCAGGGAATGTAGCTTCAGTTTAATATATGAAATGTGAGCAAAATATAATTTGCTAAATCAGCTGCTTTCTTTAAAGTCAAATGCGGCTCTTAATGTTTCCATTTCACTGTTCTTTTATTTAGGGAATACACCTGATAAATAAAGATACTGCGTTGGCAGCTTTAAATACTTTTTGGTCTATTTTTTAATAGTTTTATTTGGCAAAATCCATATTTTAGTTGTTTTAAGGAAAAATTCTTATATTTGAAATCCTTCAACAGGCATTTAGTCATCTTGTATACATTTCAAATTTTTATTTCCAAAGAGCAAAAAGACAAAATTAACATTTGAATGTCTTGTCTGTTAATGGGTTATATTGCATAAATTGTACTGCTCCATATATATGTACTTCTAAAGCCACTTTGTTCTGCTGCTGCTTTTCCTTGTCAGTGTTGAAGACCAGATGGAGCAGTCATCCTTGTACTTTTGGGACCTTTTGGAAGGTAGTGAGAAAGCAGTGGTAGGAACGACATGTGAGTTTTCTCTACTCTGGACTTATGCAGTAAATACTAAACTTTATGTCTAGAAGTTTAGTATGATATTGAGGGTCTAAACTGTGTCAGTCCATCAGAACTTACATGTCTGACAATATTATATTCATTGGGAGAATGATCCCTTTGTTTAGTTCCTTTAAAAGCAGCTATTGTATAACCCTATTCACTAAAATGGAATTCAGGGAGAGTTTCGAAGTGGCAAGTCAATATGATTTGGAAAGAGAGCTAAGTGCTGGCTTCAACACTAGCTTGATCATTTTGGGGTTCCGTTTTCTATTCTGTGTGGTAGTACCTGTTCTATTTAAGAATTTTAAATTCATACATTGTTAACATTAAGGCTCATCTACCACATCAGCCTAAGAATATATGAATGATTTTATAATCTATTGAAACATTGTTGTCTATTGATCTGGAAGTGGTCTATGGAAAGAGAGTTCTTTTGGCTTCCTAAATAGACTTTGGCCAATGACCAAATACAGATGACTGGACATAAAGCACGTAGCTTTGTGTACTAGCTTAGAATAACGAAGACTCATTAAATTATAGTAAATATTTTTGTTATCAGTGAGTGCTTCCTTTTTAAAAAAAATTCAAGTATCTATAACTATCTTAAGATTTCTAAGTTTGTTCAAGCTTAAATCAAAAATGTATTTCTTAGAATGCAAAATGCATTTAGAAAATAGTTTGGCAGTATGTTAATAAAATGAATCATACACTTATTAACGCTAAGCAATTGGTCTTCTAGTACCTAAGATAAATGAAGACGTGTTCCTATAAGTACTTGTACACAAATTTCATACAAGCTTTATTCAGCTGATAAACTGATAAAATTTGGTTTATCCAGACAGTGGAATCTATTCACCAATAAAAAAGGAACAGAATTACTGATACACATAACAACATGGATGAATCTCAAAATAATTATGCTGAGTGAAAGAAGCCAGACATAAAATGAGTACATATTATATGATTTCATTTATATGAAATTCTAGAAAAGGCATTATGGAATGATAGCGGGTTGCTGGTTTTTCGAGGGGTCAGGGGAGGAGATTAATTGCAAAAGGGGTAGTCAGAACTTTTTGGGTTAATGAAAATGCCTACATCATGGTTCTGGTGGTAACACAACTAAATATCTGTTAAAACTGTACAGTTAAAGTAGGTGAATTTTGCCTGTAAATTATATCTAAAAGCTGATATTTTTTAAAAAAGAAAAATTTATGTCATAGTACTCCTATGAAAGGAATAATAAGACTGAAATGAAGTACTGAAGCTCTCCTTAGCTTGGGGTTATGTTTCTAATGGATATTAAAAATAAAATAACTTTAGACCTATTTGTAGTATAGTGACCTCAAATGGTCAGGTGGTAGGAATGACAAACAGCATAACTCGAGTAAAATCTTAATGATGGAATTTTGTAGTTTGGAAGTATTTCAGAGTTTGTACAAAATAGGGTTTTCTAATAGATTAATAATATTAGTAATCTAATAGAGATTGCGCAATGTAGGATTTTTTTTAACCATATCTAATAGATAGATTTTGAGGAACTGACTTTTACTCCTCTAAGGCCTTAATTACTTGGGGAAGATAGAGTGGTTGCTAGCTGTTGATGTCTTGGGAGCAGATAGGAAAGATGACTTATTTCTCATCTCAGGGAATAGATGTATGCTTTTGTGACATTTGATGAGGATATCTAAATTTTAGTCGTTTTTCAAGTGGTGGAAATAGAGGTCCAGAGGAACTTAAGTGACTTGCTGAACTTTTGAGATTCTGATCTTGTTAAAATCATATTGATTCAGCATAAAGATGGACTGCATATTTACTCTTCATGGTACTGACAAATTCTCCAGTCAGTACCATGACGGTGTGAACTGTTGTAAACTATTGTAACAATGTACTATGTACATCAGTGTAAACTACTGTAATGATGTACTTCATCTAGGAAAAAATTAGGATTTCTATTCCCAGTAATTTTCAATGAGATCATGTGGTAACTAAGTCTTAATCACTCTTTCTTAGACAAACACATGAAAGATCTACTGTCTAAATTGCTCAACTCAGGCTATTTTGAAAGTATCCCAGTTCCCAAAAATGCCAAGAAAAAAGAAGTACCACTGGAGGAAGAAATGCTAACACAGTCAGAAAAAAACCCACAATTATCGAAGGCTGAATCTGTCAAAGAGCCAGGTTTGTTGTGACCTCTGAAAATCCTTATAGTGGTTGCATTTTTTAATACCCCATATGAGCCACATATTGTGCAGTGATTGCCTTAATTGGTTAGGTTCTATATACATGGAAATCTTTACTTACTGCAGGATAAACCTAAGTTTTTAAAACATCTCTAGGCTTTATCACCATGATTTATAGAGTGAACCTTATTAGAAATATTAGTTTATACTTTGTCCCAAAAGAATACATTGGTTAAGAGGAGGGCATTTATGGAATTTGAATAAATTTCTCTGTTAAACTACTAGTAGGATAATTCTGTTTAAAATTGTTTACAATGGAAGATATAGTAGAATCCAATACTGTAGCAGAATGAGGATATAATTAACCTAATTTGAAATACCGATTTGGGAAAAAAAGTGCTAAAGTCAGTAAAGAAAATATACTTTTTAGATTACCATTTGCCTGGGGAAAAATATTTTGAGCAGATGGCACTTTTGCTTTTGTTTCCTGAAGCTGGGTTTATTAAATACCTCTTCTAAGGAGGTAGTCTAGCATGGTTCTGGTGGCCATAAGCAAGAGTCAAACCCTTTTCATGTTTATTTCCCCTTAGTTTTTAATACTAATTCCAGTGCTTCAGTATCTCCACTCAGTTATCCCCTCTTAAGCTGGCTTGTAAGAGGTTTTTCAGGGCCCTGTTTCAAGCTGAGGTGACCAATTTTTACCCCATGGAACATGAGCTATAATGCTAATTTGAAAAAAATCTGTGTTTTAGGGTAAGAGGAAATAAGTCTTATTTTTAATGAGAAATCAGTTTTTAATTGAAACTTGACTTTTGTCTTAAGTAAGAAGAACTACTAGTTTGAACTAGCCTCAGACCACATGCTTTGGACTAACAAGCAATAGAATTCTTCTTGCCATCAATATACTTGATTGTATTACCCTTTTTCTCTTATGAGTCTTCTGGAATATGTTGCTAGAATGAATTATAGTTGTCATCTGTCTAAAAACTTAGAGTTCACCTAGTATTTATTCGAATTCATTTTATCATCCCAGAGTCTGTAATGGAATTTGCACAGCCAGAGATACAACCACAAGAGGTAAGATACTGAAAGACAATTTGCTCATGTTGATTTTCAGCCTTTTATATAGGGTTGTGGTTAGAAGCTAAGGCTCTGGAGCTTGAACCCTGGTTCTGCAGTTTACTAGCTTAGGGACTTTGGGCAAGAAACCTGGTCCAGCTGTGTCTGTTATCCTCATATGTAAAATAGGATAATGATAATGACTACTTCATGGGGTTATTGTGAGGATTAAAGAGGTTGATCTAATTTTGAAATTACTTAGATTTTGCCTGGCACACTAACTACCCAAGTGTTAGCTATTTTTGCCTCCTGTGTTAGAGGAACTTTAAGATGCACAGGACTTTGCTGTCTCCAGAATTTACTCACACTGGTAGCAGAAAAGGGTATTTGTTCTCTTTCTGAAGTGACATTGAAATTCCTGGGAAGCTGAAAAGAATGGGATATTCAAAAACAGTATAATTGGTGTATAAAGGACATAAAACACTGGTAACTTAGGAAATGTAAGGCTTAAGGTTACACAGTTTAACTTTGAAGTTGAACTATCCTCTGCCTTTTAATATTTGAGTGAGTCAACTGGGGCGAGGGGTCCTAAGGCTGGCAAATGTGGAACAGCATTCATTGGTAAAGCGTCCGAATCAAGCAAACCTTGCTAGTCTTAGGCAAGTCAAACAGAAATTGCTACTTTTAAAGTATCAAAGTCTGTATTTCTGTTAATTGAGGAAAAAGGAATGGACAGAGAAGTAGGAAAGTCTTTTCAAGTAGAATAAGGACAGAAATTTCATATTAGCACAACAGCTTAGATCAATGGACATAGCAATACTAATAGAGTTGAATATTCCCTTCAAGGTCTTCTATGAATTTTGTGACTTAATTGCATTGTTTCTCTGTCTAGTTTCTTAACAGACGCTATATGACAGAAGTAGATTATTCAAACAAACAAGGCGAAGAGCAACCTTGGGAAGCAGATTATGCTAGAAAACCAAATCTCCCCAAACGTTGGGATATGCTTACTGAACCAGATAGTCAGGAAAAGAAACAGGAGTCCTTCAAGTCCTGGGAGTCTCCTGGTAAGCACCAGGAGATATCCAAGCCTACAGTTTCCTTAGAACAGAGAAAACAAGACACCTCAAAACTCAGGTCTACTCTGCCAGAAGAGCAGAAGAAGCAGGAGATATCCAAAACTAAGGCATCTCCTAGCCAGTGGAAGCAAGAAACTCCTAAATCCAAAGCAGGACGTGTTCAAGAGGAACAAAAGAAGCAGGAGACACCAAAGCCATGGCCGGTTCAGCTGCAGAAAGAACTAGATCCAAAGAAGCAAACTCCAAAGCCTTGGACACCTTCTGTGCAGAGTGAACAGAACACCACCAAGTCATGGACCACTCCAATGTGTGAAGAACAGGATTCAAAACAGCCAGAGACTCCAAAATCCTGGGAAAACAATGTTGAGAGTCAAAAACACTCTTTAACATCACAATCACAGATTTCTCCGAAGTCCTGGGGAGTAGCTACAGCAAGCCTCATACCAAATGACCAGCTCCTGCCCAGGAAGTTTAACACAGAACCCAAAGATGTGAGTTGATCTGTATCATTCTGCTTCTGTCAGTGTAGGCATAAATAAGGTGTTGTGGTAATATCATTTTAGTTCTCTTTAAAAAACAGCAAAACCCGTGTGAAATTAATGTATAAAGTGTTTCACCCTCTTTACTGGGTAGATTTATTGTTTTCCTTCGAAAACTGAGAGTTAATCTAGTCTGTCTCATCTAATCTGAGATGAAATTTCTACAATTATAAAATGTTTTAATGCCAAAATTTTAACAACATAATATGATATCAAAATAGTGGATAGTTTAGACAAGATCATTATGTTAACGAGTGAGTAATGTAAATGTTTGTCACAGGATGGGAGATACTGTATTTCTTTTTGTTTGTTTGTTTTTTTGATACTGTATTTCATTTGTTGTCATCTACCTGCTATATGAATAACTTTTTCTGACAAGTTAAAATTTTCTTTATTCTCTTGCTTCTCTTCTACTCATTTATGGTCACTCAGTTTAGCCCAGGTCTTTAAGAAGAAGGTTTAGGGTTGCAGATATTTTAGTATTGGGGGAAGGGATTTGAATTAGTTCTCTATTTCCACTTCAAAATGAGAATTTTTCCAAAGATAGGAAAACTGTTGGCATTAAATATTTTGTAGCTAGGTTTTAGAGTATAAGATTAGTTAAAATATAAGGCCACATTCTTTTAAGGATAAATAACCTATTTCAGGTAGTAACACTTACATTGAATAATTCTTGGGTACAGTGCTCTGTTAAAGTTGCTTTTCATTAAGTTATAAATTAGTTATTTACCACTATTTATAATGCAAACTTGTTACCACCTCATTTGCTGAGATATATGAACTTCTGCTTCAGGTGTTCTCTATCTCTATGGAGTAGTCTTTCTTGCACTTTTGTGCCATTTTAGCTAAAGGCTTTCTGATAAACTATTGACCCTCTAATATAATAATGTGAAAAACATTTTGCTTGGGGAAAGCAAAACTGCATTTGATAAGTAAATTACCCTTTGCTTAATTCAGGTGTATGGGAACAGAATTTTAGAGTTATTTGGCTGCTTTTTATCTCCTTTCTCTCTTTTTAAGTTGCTAATATTAATTTTAGTTTCTTCCTTACTCTACAGAAGATTGGCAACTTTATTAACCAAATATCAAACAACAGTAACTGTAGCATAACTATTTTTGAAAAGCATTTAAAAAGCCAATTTAATATCTCAATAAAGCTACTTTTAAAAACCTGGTTTAAAATTCCACGAGGTATAGCAATGCAGAACCTTTATCATACCGGAATATTCTCATGCTATTTGTGGAATTGCATTTAAAATCAGGGTTGCATATTTCAAAAGGTCAAAACTCATATTTAATTTGCTTTTCTAGCACAGATAGCATGATACTGAAATTGTAGTGTTTTGTCAGTGATTGAGAGGATACTTCTGTGTGTAATATAGTATTTTTCGGTCTTGGAATTTGAGCTGTCTAGAACACTGACTAAGTACAGTCAAATGCAGAATAGAGTTCAAAACCAAAAGACTAAACGTGAGATTAATCACTAATGTTCATACTTTCCTTCTAAAAGAGTCCCATATGAGTTCACTTACGGTCTCTTAACTCTTATTTTACCTGGTACCTTTGACAAACTTAGCTGTGTATTGTCTTTGTGAATTAGAAGGTGGAGAAGAGGAGCTAATGGAGACTGGCATGCTGACAGCTTTAAAAAGTAACCGTAAATTGGTCTAATTCAGGATGTGCGCAATTTTAAACAATTTAGGATGAAGATTAACCACCTTATAAACATAAGTAGCCCCCGAGAGTGTACTCACTTTATAACAAAATATAGTGTATCCCCCTCAATTTTAGGGTATGTGTGTATGTGTGTATGTGCTTACATATGTATTTACATCTTGAGTTCTGGAATAAGATACATCTTAAAAATGGGATATTTAAGGTGATAACAATTTTTGCCCTGTGGAAAAAAAATTATTGGTATGTCTCATAGTCAGTGACATCCTATCCTAGAGGACATTTGGTAACTCATGTCCATAATGGAAACACTCTTAACAAGGAAGTTCTGCTGGATCTTTTATTTAAAAACAATATTCTGTATTTTAGAAAGAGTTCCATGAAAATTGTGAAGGGGAAAAATCTGTTTAAAGTTTGCTTATTTAGAAAAGGTATTTATGAGGAAATTCTTTACCTGTGTTAAATCAACATTGCTGTTTTGTCTTTTCCTTTAAAATGTAGTGATAAGCTGTTTCCTAGATTAGCTTTTTCCTAGATTAGGGTCTTAGCTTTTTCCTAGATTAGGGTTTTAGCTGTTTCCTAGATTAGAATTTGAATTTCACTGTTACACATTATGGGTTTATCTTGTAGGTGCCTAAGCCTATGCATCAGCCTGTAGGTTCTTCCTCTACCCTTCCGAAGGATCCAGTATTGAGGAAAGAAAAACTGCAGGATCTGATGACTCAGATTCAAGGAACTTGTAACTTTATGCAAGTATGAGTCATTTACAAAATCTTAAATGATATTTATGGGGGTTCTGATTGGAAACATTACAGTGAAATTATTGTTAAGAGCATAGATTATTCTCTCAAGTCCTGGCTCTGCTGCCTCCTAGCTCTCCTAGACTGGAGTTTAGGCAAATTACTTGATTCTGCCTCAGTTTCTTTATTTGAGAAATGAGGATTATTGTTCTACTTCCTAAGTTTGTTAGAACAACAACAACAAAAAGAATTAAACGTGTGAAAAGCTTAACTTGCTCTAGTATCGTTACTGCTATAGATCATCAATAGTGAGAACTCTGAGAACCCACTGTAAGAACCTACTGTATGCTTGGTATTGTTAGGTACCATTACATTATAGATAGAGACAATAAGACATTCATTGCCTTCAATGGATTTATATTCCAGTTGTAGATTATAAATTTGTGTTAAATTAATAGTTAAATGATACATTGTGTTATACAGTATGTTTAAGTTGTGAAATACAGACACAGAATTTGATAATGGTATGAGATTACTGAGGACTGAAGTAGTCAAATAAGTATTTTTGTTTAGTGAGAGATCCTGAGCTTTGAATATAGGCCAGGGTTTAAATTCCAGTTCTGTTACTAGCTGTTTATTTTATTTTATTTTTTTGAGACAGAGTTTTGCTCGTTACCCAGGCTGGAGTGCAATGGCATGATCTCGGCTCACCGCAACCTTTGCCTCCTGGGTTCAGGCAATTCTGCCTCAGCCTCCTGAGTAGCTGGGATTACAGGCATGCGCCACCATTCCCAGCTAGTTTTTTGTATTTTAGTAGAGGCGGGGTTTCACCATGTTGACCAAGATGGTCTCGATCTCTTGACCTCGTGATCTGCCCGCCTCGGCCTCCCAAAGTGCTGGGATTACAGGCGAGCACCAGCTGTTTATTTAACCTCCCACACTTATTTGCAAAATGTAGGAATTGCCTATACTGTCAGATTACTTGAAGATAAAAGAACTGAAATTCTCCCTGCAAGGGTGTAGTTTAAGTATGCAAAATACTGGAAAGTTTTTTGGGAGAACCAAGATAGGCAGATTAAAGAGATTGGTTTCTCATTGTGAAAGTGTTTTAATAGCATGAGTTAGTAAATGGCTGAAATAAATAGGTGCTCCTTGGTTGGGTGTAATAAAAATGAGGGTTCTGATTAGACTAGGATTGATGACTGTGTTTAGGGCCTTAGTAAGGTTAAGAGTTTCTTTTCTGACTTAGGCTTTAGAGTTACTATTGTAGTGTTTTTGTTGCTTTGTTTTGTTTTTTTTAAAGACATGATCTAACTCTGCTAGCTGAGGTTGAGGTGCAGTGGCGTGATCATAGCTCACTGTAGACTCAAACTCCTGGGCTAAAGTGATCCTCCTGTCTCAGCCTCCTGGGCATCTGGGACTACAGGCACATAACCACCATGCCTAGCTAATTCTTAAAAAAATGTTTAGTAGCAACAAAGTCTTACTTTTTTGCCCATGCTAGTCTTGAACTCTTGAGCTCAAGCAATCTTCCTACCTCAGCCTCCTAAGTGCTGGGATTACAGGTGTGAGCCATAGAGCACGGCCTACGCTTGTAGTTTTGACACTTTACATGCCTTAAGAGTTGGCAGTTACTTTAAATTTTACTTTCAATTCTTAAATTTCTTTTTCCATGAAGACTGTTTTTGACATCTTGAGATAGTGATTAGCTAGATACTTATAGCTTTAGCTAGATATCTGTAGCTACTAGTCTATAGGCAACATCATGAATAATTTAATGGTAATAGCTTTTAAATGAGTGATCTTTGTTTTTTACTCCTTATTTAAAATCGTGTCTTTAGGAGTCTGTTCTGGACTTTGACAAACCTTCAAGTGCAATTCCATCGTCACAACCGCCTTCAGCTACTCCAGGTAGCCCCGTAGGTATGTAATTATTCTAAAGACTTGGAGCAAACATCTTGAGCTTCCAGCTGTTTGTTGTTGTTGTTGTCTTTTCAAATGATTTTATTTTAGATGTCCTAATATGTTGGTATATTTTTTCTAACTGTATCCATCTGTTAACAGTTATATGTGGGTAAATGACTATTAGGACATTAGTGTACTTAACTGACTTGTTTTCATGTTTTGGAGAAAGGCTCTGGATAGGTCAATGGAAATACTCAATAGCTTTTTTATAATTTATGTTGTTGGAGTGAATTTTAACTAGAACTTGCTTGACTCCTTTGGACTCTTAAATCTAGTGTTGAGGCTTTTGGGTCTTAACTATGGGTGAGATTACCACAATGAAGTGTAGAACAGTGATTAACACAGTAACTAATGAAGGAGGCTACATTTGAATCTGGCCGGATGCTTCAGTGCTTACGTCTTTTGTTCCATGTTTGTTTCACTCCAGAGAGGAGTGACATAAAACTAGTCCAGCTATAGTGAGCAGTATACACCAGCTTGATGATTGGTGTAGCAATTCCTGGGTGAAGTAAGGAGATCAAATAGAGAGTAATTAATAAAAGTGATGGATATTAACAAGAAGAAACAAACTATGTAATTGAAAAGTGTGTTAATATATGTAATCAGAAAAAAACTGAACAGATGATCCAGATAAGATTGACTTTGAACTCTGTGAAACTTAAGTTTATCAGTTAATTGCTATGCCTGGTAGCTCAGGTCTTATCTTCCAGATCACTATTAGTTATTTTTAAATGTCTTAGTTCTTTTTTTTTTTTTTTTTTTTTAAGTCTTGAAATGCTACTTTTGCCCATTCAACCTTAAAACTTCACTCTGTGTCACAGTGGAACTAGTATTTTTCATTCTTCTACCGTTCTCTTTTTAAAACTCTAATAGAAAGTGCATGGTGAACTTGAGACCTAGTCCTTCCAGCTAATGCCTTTTTCTGTGATGTGTAAACTTCAGTTTCCTCCTAGTTGATAGGCATAAACTTTTGTCTTCCCTTAGTAGTTACTGTTTATTTTGCTCCTTGCAGCATCTAAAGAACAAAATTTGTCCAGTCAAAGTGATTTTCTTCAAGAGCCATTACAGGTAACTTTCCAAATTAATCTTTTATTCTTCTTTGCTACTGAAGGAAGAAGCTCTTACTTTGGAAAGAATAATCAGACTTACTGATTCTAATGTACCTGATGAAATTATTAAAAGTGTTCTAAGTATATGTTGTTTTGTAGACTAAGTACAACTTGTCCTAAAATGATTACCTGATGACTATGCTGAAAACATCTATTGTAATACAGGTTTGCTGACTTTAGTAAGGAGAGAGCAAGCCTGAAGAAATCAGAGGGTGCCTTATCTAAGAATACTATGTTCTCTTGAGCTATTTAAGTTGTTTAATTTATTAGCATAGTAAAGGGTCTGTAGAAAGAAATTAATTGTGTTTAATTCATTGTTAACCAATCCCCTATCCACTACAGTAGTTCACATTCTGTGGAACTTATTTTTGCAGAATAAACTTAGAGATACAAATGGACCAGATCACTGACATTGCTAAATGAATGCCAGTTCCATTTCCATCAATAGTAAGAAGGTTCACTTGTTTTCTGGTCATTACCTTTGAACAAAAATTTCTCTGTGTCCCTCTGAAAAGCTTATGGCAGTTCACCTGACAGTAGCTGCTTTGACTCTAAGTTAAACATTTTCACAAGGTTGTTCAACAGTTGCAACCTTTTATTCCTAAAGCTTTGGAGTAAATAACATTTGTTTACAGTGATTTGTATATGCTTTGGTGAGGTGGTGGTTCCATTTTTTTTTCCATAAGAGAGATGGGTCTTGCTATGTTGCCCAGGTTGGTCTCAAACTCCTGGGCTCAAGCAATCGTCCACTACAGTCTCCCAAAATGTTGGGGTTACAGATATGAGCCACTGCACCCAGCTCTTAATTTTCAAACTGTATTTGTTGATCAGGGTATTTTAGGTTTTTTCCTACTTTCCTCCAGTTCACTCACTGCTTTTACTAAAGCAGTTAAATTTTATCTGTTCTAGCTGTTTAGGATTCTGCATAAGGCTTTCAGTTGACAAGTTAAAGTTTTTTAAAAGCTCTGGTCTAGGTTAGTAGTTCTCTGGTGCAGGCTGTGGGATGGTTGCATCAGAAGCCCCTGGTCGCTTTAATAAGATATACATTTCTAGATAAGACTTAGACCTGTTGGAGCACAATTTTCTAGGGTGTTACCTATATTTTTAAAAGCCTCCTGGGCTGGGCATGGTAGCTCATGCTTTTAATCTCAGCACTTTGGGAAGCCGAGGCAGGCAGATCATAAGGTCAGGAATCAAGACCATCTTGGTTAACGCTGAAACCCTGTCTCTACTGAAAGTATAAAAAATTAGCCGGGCATGGTGGCACATGCCTATAGTCCCAGCTGCTCAGGAGGCTGAGGCAGGAGAATCACTTGAACCTGGGTGGCAGAGGTTGCAGTGAGCCGAGATCATGCCACTGCACTCCAGCCTGGCGATGAAGCAAGACAACGTCTCAAAAAAACAAAAGCTTTCTGGATAAATCTTCATACCCGTTTTTTGGAACATTAGTTTCAAACATCATGTTTATTCACCATCATCCCACCTCCAGCTGGTCTACTTAAAGAGTGGTAATTTGGAAGGAAGAACTGCCATCACTTCTAAATAAATACTAATGTAAATGTCTTTGTTATTAAATGAACCTTTTAACTGAAATTCAAGCCATTTAAAGATTATCAAATGGCCTAAGATGCCTTAACTTAGCATCTGTGGAATTTCCCTTAGCAGTAGAGTTATTTCCCCACAGCAGCCAGTTCTGCTTTTCTTGGGCTCTTGCCTCATTAATGATAGAGCCAAAAGAAAGACCTAGTTTTAGAAACACTCTAATCTCATAATGGTTCTAATATTTTGGCCAAATCTAAGTTATGCCTATTTATTTGGTTATATAAAATGTACAAAAGGGTTTCAGACATTTTTTTTCCATAAGATCTTAAAACTTAATCCCTATTCTCCTTCCTAAAAAGCAACATACCATAATGGTTCCTTAAAGAAGGTCACAGAAACATAGTTTCTCTGTTTTGTTACCCTTCATTAGTTTCTAGTTCACCTATTTTATTACTGGGGCTTCTGAGAATCACATAGAAGCATTTAGATAAAAGGAGTGGATATACTGACACTTTAGATCTTGCTATTGCCAGATTTTTATGGGTGTCTCTGCTATATTTGAATACCTGTTGTGCCGGAGAAGTCTTTCCTAGCTACTCTTTTCATTTTCTGTTGGCTACAGTTGTCAAACTTTAGTTCCTAAAGTGCTTTCTCCCAATTTTTATTTTACACATACTATCAACTTTAATTTTTCACTAGACCTTTCATTCTGATTTATGTAGAGCTTATCTGTGCTGTTTATACTTCAGCCTGCCTCTTCAGGATGCTGGTAGTACTTAGCATGAAAGCATAGTTATTAAGGTCTCTGGCAGAGCTGTGCCTACAGTGTTAAAGGTGCCCAGCACTCACCTTCCTGTGAATGGTATCTAGTGCAGGGCCAAGAATCAGTGAAAATGGGATGAGAGGTGTAGTTTTGTGACCAGGCCTGGAAAGGCAGTGTAGCAGTCTGCTTGGGTTTGAATCTCAGCTCTGCCAGTTAATTGTAGTATGATCTTGGGCAAATTTCTTAACCTTTCTTTGCCACTGCTTAATTGTCAATAAAATGAGAATAGTATCTATCTCACAGATTACTGTTAGGATTAAATATATTAACATGTGTAAAGTGTGTTTAGCAGGGTGCTTGGCACATATGGCTCTTCAGTTAGAGTAACATATTAGGAAGTCCAGGGCCCAAGAAATATAAAGTGAACAAAATGTGCCTTTTTTTCCTGTGTCTAGGCTACTTCTTCTCCAGTTACTTGTAGCTCAAATGCTTGCTTGGTTACTACCGATCAGGCTTCTTCTGGATCTGAAACAGAGTTTATGACCTCAGAGACTCCTGAGGTAAAAGACCAATTGTCTTAATTTCTTTTGTGTCTTAAAGAGTAGCAGAACCAGTTTATCTTATGAATTACAGGCATGATTAGTTGAATGATGTAACATTTATACTTTATTAATGTATTGCTTTCTATAGATGTTGTGATCTTAGAACTTATACAGGTAACTTTATTGTGGCTTTGCCACATAAATAGATTTAATATTGTATTGCCGTATCTAGTGCAATGAATGTCAATTTTAACATAAAAGTATAGGTAGCGTTAAGTCAAGTTTTACATTGAAGGACTTTTAGGAGGAAAGTCTCTTATTTGTATAACTAAAAGCTCAGTAACTTTATATTGTTAATATTAGCACTTACTGAGTTGAAATGAATCACAGTTTTGTTTTGGCTTTGTCAAAAGTAATTTGGGTTGGGTATGCTGGCTCATGCCTGTAATCCTAGCATTTTGGGGAGGCTGAGGCAGGTGGATCACTTAAGTTCAGGAGTTTAAGACCAGCCTGGCCAACATGATGAAGCCCTGTCTCTACTAAAAATATAAAAATTAGCTGGGTATGGTGGCATGTGCCTCTAGTCCCAGATTCTCAGGAGGCTGAGGCCGGAGAATTGCTTGAACCCAGGAGGTGGAGGTTGCAGTGAGCTGAGATGGCACCACTGCACTTTGGCCTGGGTGACAGAGTGAGACTCCATCTCAAAAAAAGAAAAAGCAGTTTGCAGTATTATGTTTGTGCTTTCAATTCTGAGTTACAGTTTTTGCTAAGTTTGAGTAAATTCTTGAGCTGGACATAGTAAAATGAATTTTGAGGGGTAATTTAGCAACTATCAGATATATTTTGTTAACTATTAAGGATACGTATGCATTATAGAATATAAGAAAATATAGATAATCCTTAGTGGTGCTGATATGATCTAAATTTAAATTATCTCATTCCCCATTTTAAGAAGAGGAAGAAGTGATTGTTACCAAGTAACTCACAGCTATCTGCTTCACAATCTAGTTGAGACTGGTTTTTGGTATTTTTTTAAGCCTTTGGATTTATAATCTGTTATGTCAAGAACTTGTGGCTTCCTTAGGTAAGGATTACTTAAATTGGATTAGAGTTGTTTTCTGTTTTAGGTAGCTGACTTAGAAACCCACTAATAAGCGTTTAAAATAGAGAAAAATTAACATTAGACAACTAACCCAAGGTTTTTCTTAAATCCAATTCTGCTGTATAAATTTTGAATAACTAGGTTCTTAACTGGAAAGTACCATTTCAGGGTTTCAAAAGGACTAGGTGCCTGTAAAAAGTTCAGCCCCTCATCTGTTAGACTGATTATTGGTAAGACTCTCTGACTTAGTCAGCAAGCTGTGCAAAGCAAATACTGGTGTGCATCCTCAGCAGTTGAGATTTGAAATTGTAAGCAAAAGCTATTCTTTTGCATTCCTGTGTCCAAATGTCATCCTAAAGAACTTGCTGACTTATGCCATTTTGGGTTTTAGAGTAAGTTAACTGCTTGTTATATGGCAGGTGATTGGCTGATACTGCATTTCTCCTCCCCAGGCAGCAATTCCCCCAGGCAAGAAACCGTCTTCACTAGCTTCTGCAAATCCTTCCATGGCAAAGGGCTCTGAACAGGGCTTCCAGTCACCTCCAGCAAGTAGTAGTTCAGTAACCATTAACACAGCACCCTTTCAAGCCATGCAGACAGTGAGTATGAAACATGAATGATGATTGCAGTTCATTATTCCTGTTAAAAAGCCATTGTTTCTCTTGCATAATTATTGGGTACTGTGTGAAAAGTTTGCCTTTTGTAAAACTTATTTGGGTTGGTAGAATTATATTTGGACAATGGCAATACTGTTTGTGGCAGAAGAGTAGAAAATCCACAGCCTCTAGAATTTTGAATGGGTGTTTTATCAGAGCACAATCCCCTATTTCAGAATTAGTAACAGGCAAAGCTGAGGACCCCTATTAAACAAACAAAATGTGTGGGTGAGAAACAGGGTTTTCTACTAACAGCTTAATAATACTAATTATTAATGTAGCCTTGTAATATAGTTTGAAATCAGGTAGCGTGATGCCTCCAGCTTTGTTCTTTTTGCTTAGGATTGTCTTGGCTATTCAGGTTCTCTTTTGGTTCCATATGAAGTTTAAGGTGGTTTTTTCCAGTTCTGTGAAGAAGGTCATTGGTAGTTTGATGGGGATAGCATTGAATCTATAAATTACTTTGGGCAGTATAGCCATTTTCACGATATTGATTCTTCCTAACCATGAGCATGGAATGTTTCTCCATCTCTTTGTGTCCTGTCTTATTTCCTTGAGCAGTGGTTTGTAGTTCTCCTTGAAGAGGTCCTTTACATTCTTTGTTAGTTGTATTCCTAAGTATTTGAGTCTTTTTATAGCAATTGTGAATGGCAGTTTGCTCATGATTCGGCTCTCTGTTAGTCTGTTATTGGTATATAGGAATGCTTGTGATTTTTGCACATTGATTTTGTATCCTGAGACTTTGCTGAAGTTGCTTATCAGTTTAAGGAGATTTGGGACTGAGATGATAGGGTCTTCTAAATATACAATCATGTCATCTGCAAATAGAGACAATTTGACTTCCTCCTTTTCTAATTGAATACCTTTTATTTTTTATTCTTGCCTAATTGCTCTGGCTAGAACTTCCAATACTGTATTGAATAGGAGTGGTGAAGGAGGGCATCCTTGTCTAGTGGCGGATTTCAAAGGGAATACTTCCAGTTTTTGCCCATTCAGTATGATATTGGCTGTAGGTTTGTCATAAATAGCTTTTATTGTTTTGAGATACATTTCTTCGATACCTAATTTATTGAGAGTTTTTAGCATAAAGCGCTGTTGAATTTTTTCGAAGGTCTTCTCTGCATCTATTGAGATAATCATGTGGTTTTTGTCTTTGGTTCAGTTTATGTGGTGGATTACGTTTATCGACTTGTGTATGTTGAACCAGCCTTGCATCCCTGGAATGAAGCCTTCTTGATCGTGGTAGATAAGCTTTTTGATGTGCTGTAGCAATTGGTTTGCCGTTATTTTATTGAAGATTTTTGCGTCTATGTTCATCATGGATATTGGCCTGAAGTTTTCATATGTTGAGTCTCTGCCGGATGATGTTTTTCTATCAGGATGATGTTAGTCTCATAAAATGGCCAACAAAAACTTGAAAAAATGTTCATAATCACTGATTATTAGAGAAATGCACATCAAATCCACGTTGAGGTACCATCTAACACCAGTTAGCATGGTGATCATTAAAAAATCTGGAGACAACAGATGCTGGAAAGGATGTGGAGAAACAGGAACACTTTTACACTGTTGTTGGGAGTGTACATTAGTTCAACCATTGTGGAAGACAGTGTGGCACTTCCTCAAGGACCTAGAACCAGAAATACCATTTGACCCAGTAATCCCATTACTAGGTATATACCCAAAGGATTATAAACCATTCTATTACAAAGATACATGCATGCGTATGTTCATAGCTGCACTGTTTACAATAGCAAAGACCCGGAACCAACCGAAATGCCCATCGATGATAGACTGGACAAGGAAAATGTGGCACATATACGCCACGGAATACTATGGAGCCATAAAAAATGAGGACTTTGTGTCCTTTGTAGGGACATGGATGAACCTGGAAATGGTCATTCTTAGCAAACTGACACAAGAACAGAAAATCAAACACCACATGTTCTCACTCATATGTGGGTGTTGATCAATGAGAACACATGGACAGAGGGAGGGGAATATCACACACTGGGGTCTGTTGGCAGGTGCCAAGGGAGGGACAGCAGGGGTATGGGGAGGTCGGGAAGGGATAACATGGGGACAAATGCCAGATATAGGTGCCTGGGGGATGGAGGCAGCAAACCACATTGCCATGTGTGTACCTATGCAGCAATCCCACATGATCTGCACATGTACCCCAGAACCTAAAGTAGTATAAAAATAAATAAATAATTTAAAAAAATACGAATATCAGTACTAGTGTTATTCCCTAACATCAGTAACCTGCAATACCAGACACATACATGGGTGTTCTGTCATTGCAGAAACTTGCATTTAATATTATCCTGGTCTCAAGATGGTTTTTGGAGATTTGTTCAGACTTGTGTGGTGTTTTGAATTTTATGCATCTTTTTTTTTTTATTAACAAATTGTAAAGCTTTTTTTTTTGGTAATATTACGGCTAGTTTGGTATGTTTATTCTGTAAACACAGACTAGTATAAACTAGTTCTTTGTGGTAGGGGAATCCTTAATGAGCCAGTAAATACCTTTCCTGTTGGTGTCCTACTGTAAGCACTTTGTGTCCTACTCCAAGGACTTTGGAATGATGGTGGTAGTGGGGCCAGTGGAGTAACAGTGGAAAGCAGGCACCAACCGGGGAAATCAGCTGGTGAATCCAGACAGCTGAATTCACTCACCTGATCACTTAGAGTATCTTAGTTCTAGATAGATACCTTGATTTCCTTGCTTTCACTCTTTTCCTGTCAGTTCATCCTGCATAGTATAGCCACATTGGTTTTACCTTTTCATTTGTCTAATTAAAAGCAAGCAGTGTTCCATTACAGAATGAAATTGAGTCCTCGGCCTGACAGTCAGTACCTTTTCACATTTGTTAATCTGCCACACTTAGTCCCCTGAGCTTGCCTTATACATTCTTGTTACAATACATTTTACTCATGCCAATCTGTTTTCTCTGCCTGTTTGAATCCCACCCAGTTCACATTGGTTCTTACTGATTTATTGATTATATAATAGTTACAAAACCAGGCACTGTTCTTAATCACTGAAATTGTAACAGTGAGAAAAAGAAAAGTAGGCTCAGGAAACTCGACATTTTATTATGGAGGTAGGAGGGCTAGGGAGACAAATACCTGTATATCAGGTGCTGTGTGATGTAAGGAAAAATGGAGCAGAATTGGGGAGGTAGAGAGTCATAGAAGGAGAGCTCATTGCTTGCCACATGGTAAAGATTGAGTAAATGGTAAAATATTTCATTCATCTTCAGTTTTTGAAAAAAGACTCCTTTCCCTTATATAGCTTTTATTCTCAGTAAGCATTATTATGATAGCATAATAGCAGGAAGATTAACTTTTACTCTTCAGTGTAAATTCTGTCAGGAATCAAGTAGGAGTGTTGTTTTTTTTTTATTTTTTTACTGTGGTAAAATATATGTAACACAGAATTTACCATTTTAACCTTTTTAAAGTATACAATTTGTGGCATTAAATATATTCATAATGTGCAATCATCATCACTCTTTCCAGAACTTTTTCATTATTCCAAACAGAAACTTAGTACCCATTAAGCAACAACTTCCTATTTGTCACCCCCTCCACAGCTCTGGTAACCTCTATTCACTTCCTTTCTATGAATTTACCTATTCTATGTAAGTGGTATCCTGTATCATTTTTCCTTTTATATCTGGATTTTTGCACTTTGCATAATGTTTTCGGAGTTCATTCTTGTTGTAGAGTGTATCAGAATTCCATTTTTGTACTGCTGAATAATATTCCATTTCATGTATGTACTTCCTTTTGCTTCTTCATTCAACTATTGGGTATTTGAGTTGTTTGTACCTTTTGGCTATTCTGAACAATGCTGCTATGAACGTGGGTGTATAAATATCTATTTGAGTCCCTATTTTCAATTATTTTGGGTATATACCTAGAAATGGAATTAGTGGATCATATATTCTGTACATTTTGAGAAGGCAGTGTACTATATTCCATAGTGGTGGCTGGCGTGCCTACTGGCAATGCATGAGGATTTCAGTTCCTCCGCATCCTTGCCAACACTTATTTTCTGTCTTTTTGAAAGTAGTCCTACTAATGGGTATAAAACTATATTGCATTATGGTTTTGATTTACATGTTCCTAATGATTAATGATAGTGAGCATGTTTTCATGTGCTTATTTGCCATTTATCTTTTTCAGAGATATGTCTGTTCAAGTCCTTTGCCTGCAAAATAGAAGTTTTTGATTGTAGAATTTTGCTGGATGTCACCCTTAAGCATTTTCTTTGAAACTTTCCAGATGACTTAGTGTGTCCTTTTCTTTTAAGGTATTTAATGTTAATGCACCTCTGCCTCCACGAAAAGAACAAGAAATAAAAGAATCTCCTTATTCACCTGGCTACAATCAAAGTTTTACTACAGCAAGTACACAGACACCACCCCAGTGCCAACTGCCAGCTATACATGTAGAACAAACTGTTCTTTCTCAAGAGACTGGTAAGATCTTTGCATATGGTATTTGGAAGACTTAGATGGATAGCCAATTAAATGGAAAGCAAGTCTAGCAAGTCTGTAGTGACACTTTAGAAGTATTCTCCTGACTAGTAAGCATTATTTCTTCACATGTTCTTCCAAAGTTGAGAAAAACCTAATGCCTTTTCTTGTATTAAGTTTACCTATTAATTTTAATTTTTGTAGAGATGGAACTGAGATGGCTGATTTAACCTTGAAGTAGGTTTGTATTTTTAAATATATTTGCTTTGATTACTGCAGACAGTGATTGAGGTAAATGGGTACTATATGGCTGCTTATATGAAGGTTTTGAAACCATTCTGTTAACCCTTTTAGCCCAGATGGTTACTGTCCTTTTTTATCTTATAAAAAAAGATTGAAGACTGAAGATATAACAGTATGCTCATTGTATCATTTGCTTAGAAATGGGAATCTATTTTGATCTTTCATGCTGTTCTAAATCATGAAAGTATAGGTAACTTTGTACTTAATTTAAGAAGCACTTGTAGATTTTTCATATTGGTATTTCAGATTCCTATTGAATCTTTTAACTGAGGGTGGAGCAAATGAATTGAGCCTTCTCAGTACTTGGCTAATCAAGTGATGAAGAGGTAGTAATATAACTCCTGGGACCTAGGCACAAATTACCTGATTCTCTGCTCCCCTGTACTGTTGAAAGACAGGCCAGGTGATGTACACAAATGTGCCTTCTCAGATATAGTACTAATTAGAATCTGTTTTCTTTTACTCCCTCATTTGGAATATTTAGCCTGCTTTTTAAAAATTGTTGTAAAATAGATATAACATAAAAATTACCATTTTAATCATTTTTAATTGTATAGTTCTGTGGCATTAAGTACATGCAAATTGTTGTGTAATTATTACCACTGTCCACTTCCAGAACTTTTTCATCTTCCCCCAACTGAAACTTTGTAATCATTTAATACTAACTCCTCCTCCTCCTCTCCCCTAGCCCCTGGCAACCACCATTTTACTTTCTGATTCTGAAAATGACTGCTCTAGGTACCTCATATAAGTGGTATACAATATTTGTGCTTTTGAAACTGGCTTATTTTACTTGGCATGTCTTAAGGGTTCATTCATGTTATAGCATGAGTAAAAATTTTCTTCCTTTTTTAGGCTGAATCTATTATGTATATGAATTATGTATTTGAGATATGTAGATGAATTATATATATGAATGTATATCCTATTTATTTTTAAAGGGAGCAAATTGTATTAATGATTTTGATATATATTGGCTTTTAAGTATAAAGACTATTACCATTTAACTCTTAGATTCTAAAACCGTTTTTCTTAAGCAGCAAATTATCATCCTGATGGAACTATTCAAGTAAGCAATGGTAGCCTTGCCTTTTACCCAGCACAGACGAATGTATTTCCCAGACCTACCCAGCCATTTGTCAATAGCCGGGGATCTGTTAGAGGATGTACTCGTGGTGGGAGATTAATAACCAATTCCTATCGGTCTCCTGGTGGTTATAAAGGTATGCCCTGAATAAAATTTAATTCTACTGAATTATTTCGTCTGTATGTTTACTTGACTCGAACCATTTTTACCTAACCTTGCTCCCTTTTGTTATTTACAATGTAGTAGAGAATTTTCTGTTTGTGGATAGTAGAGTATTTTTAATATACGTATTCTCTGTAACAGGAACTAACTTTCTGAATGAAAAGCAGATTGAATTTGTGACTTACTGAAGTGGAAAAGTTTCACCATCTTGTTTTACAAAGGATGAATTTTCATATTTTAATAATGTTTCTTTTGTAACTCAACAAAAGTTAAGTCAAACTCTGCTAAACGTATGTCATATTTACAAAATGCCCATTTTCTAGTTATTTGTTAGATTATGTCACAAAGACTATAGAATTTGAGATTATAATAGTGATATTCTCTTAAATTTTTGTTATGGTTCCAAGTATCCTAGTCACTACTTATTATTAACAAAAATACTCTAGACAGGCTGAGTGCAGTGGCTCGTGCTTGTCATCCCATTACTTTAGGATGCCAAGGTAGGAAGATCATTGAGGCTGGGAGTTTGAGACCAGCCTGGGCAGCATAGTGAGACCCTCTCTTTACAAAGAATTTAAAAAATTAGCTGGGCATTGTGATGTGCACCTGTAGTCCCAGCTACCTGGGAGGCTGAACTGGAAAGAATGCTTGAGTCCAAGAATTTGAGGTTACAATGGGCTGTGATCTCACTACTGTGTTCCAGCCTGAGTAACAGAGCGGGACACTGCATATAAAAAAACAAACAACAAAAAAACAACTCTAGACAGAGGTCCTAAGTAGCTAACTGCCCTACCACCACCCACCCTTTCCCAGCCACAACCTGCATTCCAGCAGTGGTAAATGTCTAAATCTGGCTTCTTTGAAGACAGCAATGTTTTATAAATGTATGTTTTACTATGGAAGCAATATTAGTAGAGTTTGCTTAAAGAAGGCATAAGTCTAACGATGGCATTATATAATCAGTTTAACTTTTAAAGCATATAGAATTAGACTGTTCAAAAGTATTATATGGCCAGGCACGGTAGCTTGTGCTTGTAATCCCAGGACTTTGGGAGGCTAAAGTGGGTGGACACAAGGTCAAGAAATTGAGACCATCCTGGCCAACATGGTGAAACCCTGTCTCTACTAAAAATACAAAAAATAGCCCAGTGTGGTTGTGTGTACCTTTAATCCCAGCTACTTGGGAGACTGAGGCAGGAGAATCACTTGAACCTGGGAGGTGGAGGTTGCAGTGAGCTGAGATCGTGCCACTGCACTCAGCCTGGGCAACACAGCGAGACTCCAGCTAAAAAGCAAAACCAAAACAACAAAAAAAGTTTAATATGATTTTGTCCATAATCTTATCTGTTTATTTATTATTAGGTTTTGATACTTATAGAGGACTCCCTTCCATTTCCAACGGAAATTATAGCCAGCTGCAGTTCCAAGCTAGAGAGTATTCTGGATCACCTTATTCCCAAAGGGTAAGAATAGTTGTCACAGTTGAATTAGTGGCACAGTTGTTGATGTTAATAAGTTGGTGATTCAAATATATAGCAGAGTCATAATTTGTTTTCTAAAAGTGCACTCTTAATTTTAGAACTACTCGTAAGTCTTATGGAGAGTTGAGTTGGAAGCTTTTTCCAGTTACCCAAGGAAGAAAAATAACTGCTTGATATATGAAACTTAGAAGGTATTAAGAACATTATGAATCATGTTGTTTGCATTAATTCATTATTTTATAGGAGAAACTGGGGTTCAGAGGTTAAGGTCACTCATCAAAGAAATTGTAAACAAAGATTAGAATGTGACTTTCTTACTCTTGAGCCCATGATTTTAACGTTACTATATTGCCTTCAGCTTAATTTGCCTAAAAAGCAAATATAGCAAAGCCGTTTTTCATGAGGTTTTCTGTTGTTGTTGTTTATTCTTATTTGAAGAACCCAGCATATTTTCTTTACTATGTATGATAAAAGACTCGTAAGAGTATGTTAGAAATTCCACTTTAACAAACCTTGGGAATTTATGGATTTGAATCTATACTACATCAGCATTTTTAGTGTTGAAGTTTTACAAGCCTTTGAGTATGTATATGGTACCATACTGAATTCTGTTGGCAATATGTAAAAATATGTAAGCTTGAAGAGCTTACAGTTACATGAGGTAGGATGGATATCTACACAGAGACAGTGTTGAAAAGAGTGAAGGCCGGGTGCAGTGGCTCACACCTGTAATCCCAGCACTTTGGGAGGCCATGGCAGGTGGATCACTTGAGGTCAGGAGTTTGAGAACAGCCTGACCAATATGGTGAAACTCCATCTCTACTAAAAATACAAAATTAGCCAGATGTGCTGGCACACACCTATAATCTCAATTACTCAGGAGGCTGAGGCAGGATAATTGCTTGAACCTGGGAGGCGGAGGTTGCAGTGAGCTGAGATCGTGCCATTGTACTTCAGTCCAGGCAAGAAGAGCAAAACTCCATCTCAAAAAAAGAAAAGTGTGAAAAACACCTTGGATCTAAATGCCTTGGGTTTGACCCCTCATTTATCATTTCTCTTGCCTTGTGACTTTGGATATGTTAGTGAAACTTTTTGAGCTGTAGTTCCTCATCTGTTTTTCATCTAATGCTGAGGGGTAGTGAGGTTTTCTCCATGAGATATTCTGAGAATTAAATGAACTAAAGTTAAGTGCTTAGCACTACAGAGCCAGCTGTGCATATCAGCCATGCAAATATTAGATGTTATGACATGATCCTCAGGGAATGTATGTGAGGGGAGGATGTCGATTAATATAGACTTCAGTAAAAGAACTGTCTCTTCTTCATATCACTATTATAGTATTTTTGTGTGCTCTTTTACATTTCTTCCTCAGGAACAAGAAATTGATAATGCTGGTTGCTATTGCAAAGTGGGGACTGGGAGTATGGAATGAGAGGCTTTATTATTTTTATTGTGTACCTTCTTGTCCTGCTTCAATTTTTTATTGCATATAATAATTGTACCACTAATTATTCTTTTCATGGATTGTATGGAGGTTGGCTTCCTTCATACTTGGGGAGTTTGTTTGAAGTACTGCCCCTGGAACATTTTTTTCTTAATATATTGGATTATATTTCTAGGCAATAAATATATTTATACAATATAATTTTTTATGAATTCCTTAAAAAAAGTTCCTAAACTCCAACATAGTTGGTATTAGTCTTCCCAGTTTGTTGTATACATAGAGCAAGATTGAAAAAAACCTGTTTTCTTACTTTATTGTGTCCTTTTATATTGAGATGAGGGACAGAGGACCATGCCACATTTTTAAATGTCTCTCATTACCTAGCATTGTATCTTTTACATAGTATTCTTCAAGTGCTTTATTGTTTTTGGGGCATTAACATATCTAATTGGTCAGGTTAATTAACAAATGAAGCAAGTAATGCCACTGTTGCTCTTGCCTTGTTTTTCTTGGTGGTTGGAAACATCTGACTTCTTTGGTTGCTGGAGAAGGCCAGATAAAGAACCAAGGGGACTTTAATCTTACAGATTGCCAGCCAGTAGTCTTGTCCTGTGTAATAACCAATTATAGTCCTGCATTTTTAATGCCAAGGTAAATATTATATGTTTTCTTTAGGATAATTTCCAGCAGTGCTATAAGCGAGGAGGGACATCTGGTGGTCCACGAGCAAATTCAAGAGGTAAGGATAATTAGCTGAACAGTTTATTTACCCAAAACATGTCTCTAGTTCTTTCTGCATCCTCAACCAAGTTCTTCCCAAAGCACATTGCTTTTCAGTATTTATCTTGTTGAGCTTTTCAATTTGCTTGAATGTAATACTAAAGTACTAAGGGAGATATTAGACTCCTAAAAAGGCTGTGGAAACCACTGCAAATTGAATTAAAAGGGCAGGTATTTTTTAAAAATCTGCTTGACACCAGAGCATATTTAACCTTATATATTCACTGTGCTGATTTCAAATAGTTCATGTGATGGTTCGGGATGGTGGTTTTTGTAATAATGGGTACTTCTGCTTACTCTAGTGTCACTGCATTAATAGAGTCAAATAAGCAACAATTAAGACACATGACTTGAAACAAAAGCAGCATACTTATAACACTTTTTAAAATGTGAAGGAACAATTAAAAGTTTGGTATAATGGAGAAAAGAAGATCACTGAAGATTAACTTTGTTACAGGAAAGCATTCTTTTCCTTCTGAAAACAAAACAAAACAAAACTAGTATTCAATTTGCCTTTGCCTTAGTCTGAGCAGTGTTTTTGTATGGCACTTAAAGCATTAAAAGTGTATAATGTGTGCCTGTAATCCCAGCTACTCAGGAGGCTGAGGCAGGAGAATTGCCTGAACCCAGGAGGCGGAGGTTGCGGTGAGCCGAGATTGTGCCATTGCACTCCAGCCTGGGTAACAAGAGCAAAACTCCATCTCAAAAAAAAAAGTGTATGATGTCAAATTAACTTGGGAATTAAAAGAAAAAACAAGCATTCATCATGGGGCTTAGTTCTCTAGTGGCTAGTAGTTCTAAAAATTGGAATTTATGTAATCTCCCATTTTCTTAAGACCTTCTACATTAGCTGCTTTGTAGAATGATCTCTAAGAAATTAAGAATTATGGGAGAAAGATTAAGTAAAAAGTGTTCAGACCTGAGTTTTAGACTTTGCTAAGTTATCTTGCCTTTTGAGGGGCACATTTTCTTAATCTTAGAAAAGAATCAATTAGAGAAGATTATCTTGGACCTTTGTGGCTTTAGAAGAGTATTATAAAATCCTATTGCCAGAAAAATCTAGAAAAGTATAATCTAGCTATATATTGCTTTTGTTTTGGAATTTACTATAAAATGTATCTTTGTCTGTTTCAGTAGCCGACTAATGTTAAATATTGTGTTCAAAGCTAACTGCTTCATTATGAGAAACTCACTGTTGCTAATAAAACAGCAGGGTGGAGTGATTCTTCTCAGGTGAGCAGCCCAGAAAGAGACAACGAAACCTTTAACAGTGGTGACTCTGGACAAGGAGACTCCCGTAGCATGACCCCTGTGGATGTGCCAGTGTCAAATCCAGCAGCCACCATACTGCCAGTACATGTCTACCCCCTGCCTCAGCAGATGCGAGTTGCCTTCTCAGCAGCCAGAACCTCTAATCTGGCCCCTGGAACTTTAGACCAACCTATTGTGTTTGATCTTCTTCTGAACAACTTAGGAGAAACTTTTGATCTTCAGCTTGGTAGATTTAATTGCCCGGTGAATGGCACTTATGTTTTCATTTTTCACATGTTAAAGCTGGCAGTGAATGTGCCACTGTATGTCAACCTCATGAAGAATGAAGAGGTCTTGGTATCAGCCTATGCCAATGATGGTGCTCCAGACCATGAAACTGCTAGCAATCATGCAATTCTTCAGCTCTTCCAGGGAGACCAGATATGGTTACGTCTGCACAGGGGAGCAATTTATGGAAGTAGCTGGAAATACTCTACGTTTTCAGGCTATCTTCTTTATCAAGATTGAGAGTCAGTACAGTATTGACAATAAAAGGATGGTGTTCTAATTAGTGGGATTGAAGGAAAAGTAGTCCTTGTTCTCATGACTGATTGGTTTAGGAAAAAGTTTTCAATCCTAGAGGAAGGAGGAGGTCCTTACTTTTTTGTTTTCCTTCCTAAGGTGAAAAATCAAGCTGAATGACAATTAGCACTAATCTGGCACTTTAAAAATTGTGATGTAGCCTCGCTAGTCAAGCTGTGAATGTATATTGTTTGCACTTAATCCTTAACTGTATTAACGTTCAGCTTACTAAACTGACTGCCTCAAGTCCAGGCAAGTTATAATGCCTTGTTGTGCCTCAATAAAAAAGTTAATGCGCCTTCAGTATTCCTATTTGATTAAACATTTAGTTGAGAGGTATGTCTACTTTTTAATATTCATCACTGATAACTCTTGAATGATTATTACTTCATGGGTTCATGCTATTATTTTAAAATAAGACATGTATAGCAGTTTCTTCTAGGGTTACTTTTCTCTTATTATACATGCCATTCATTAAAACATTTGATCCGTTTTCCATGGGCCAAATCATACATTCTTCTTGAAGGTATTCTACTATTTTGCAGTAGGGCATGGGCTTCCTTTAGTTAGCTATCTTTGGGTTGCTGCTACGCGTGTATTACTATATAATAGGAGATACACAGGTGATACTACTAGCCCATCCATCAATCAGACTTACACTTTCTAGTATTAAGAATTGAGAATCTAGTGGATTTTCAATTTAATTTGAGTAGGCAAAATGCTAAGACATTAAAAAGCATAGGCTCTATGGTCAGGCAATGCTGTGTTTTAGAGTCCTAATTCTGCCACATAGTAGCTGATCTTAGAGAAGTTAC